TTATTGCAGACTTACCGCAGCAATTGCTGCTGAAAAGGAGAAAGAATTCCAGGATTATGCAAAAGAAGTGATGAAATCGGAGTCCCAGTCAACTGAAAAGTCTATTTATCCTCTTGTAAAAGCTGTACAGGAAGGACCTGGATGTGGCCATGGACCAATGCTTGTGGACAGAGGTGAATTAAAACCCAGCTCTCAGGCAACGGATGTCACTGGAGTCCAGCTCCCTTTTCATAATTCCCAGGAATCAAAATATAATAATTATCAAAAGTCTAAAGGAAGGCTAGGTTTTACATGGTAGAAAAATTTATTTTTAGTTTTAAGATTGAAAAGACTAAGTTGTAGCAAATAATATGTGCTACAAAGGTAAATTAATTATATACCTATAATTTTTTAATAAAGCTGCTCGTCATCTTAAAAGAAAACCAATGACCCATAAAAGAATAAATTAAGGAAAAGAAAAAGAAAAACCTGTAAATAGATCAAGGTCTGATTTTTGAACTCTGGGCTTGTCCTCCAGTCAAGTCCGATGGGGTGCCACGCTCCGGCCCCAAAGTCTATCCTTTGTACTCCCTTGGGAGCTCCCCGCTCAGAGTCTCTTCTGATGTCTACTCTGCTCCTTCCGTTCTTTTTAATGACCTGTGACGTTCCGGGCGCAGGGTCTTCTTGGTGTTGTCTGCCCTTCACCCATTGCGCTGCAATGCGCCAAGTCTATTTGTGAGACAGTCTCTAAACTCAGGCGGGACATCCTCAAGATCATATTTGGGCTCTTGTGAACTTGTTTTACTTTTTTTCTAGCTTCAACTTGAACTTACATGTGCGCATGTGGTTTGTCCCACAGCCAGTCTCTGACCTCATCTGGCTGATGACTCAGAACTTCTCCATGGCCTCTTTCGATAGATGTAGTCAATTTGATTGATGTGGATTCCATCTGGTCAAGTTCGTGTCTACTATTGCTGTTGTGTTGTTAAAAAAAACTTTGCAGTGAATTAAGTCTTGGTTTTGCAAAATATTAAGCCTTATTTTCCGACTACAGATTCTGTTTCTTTTTAGCTTCTGCATTCCAATCACTAGTAATCATTACTGCACCTTGATTGCATATTTGATCACTTTGGACCCTATGGCATAGTAGCATGTTGAGCTGCAATCTGCAAGGCCAGCAGTTCAAAACCACCAGTTGCTCCTCAGGAAAAAGAAGGGGCTTTCTAGTCTGTGTGAGGCCGGGTCAACGAGAGAAACAAATCCAGTGACGCTCGTCTATGTGTAAGAAAGACCTTTCTATCAGAAAGTAATTGAATATCGGGAAACCATCCCAGCCCAGTCCAGGGGAAGTCCGTGGGTCTGATACTAGTCCATAAGTCCCTCTTCAGACTCACGCTGCCACATGCAGTGATGCAGAACTGCAGGACGATCACAGGCTGGGGGGTAAAACGTCTGTGGATCCAGTGGCGGTACACGCACCCCAGGGTTCTGGCAGGTCCCCGAGCGGCTCCTCAACAAGGAGGTGAAGGCAGTGCAGAGGGAGTGGCCCCCAGCACGCCTTGAAAGGAGACATCATTTGGGCAGAGAGCTTAGAAGAATACATGATAAAAACACTGCCATCGAGTGGATGCCGACTCCTAGCTATCCTACAGGACGGGGTAGGACTGCTCCTGTGAGTTCCTGAGAGGGAAGCTCTTTACAGGAGTAGAATGCTCAATCTCTCTCTTGAGGAGCAGCTGGTGAATTTGATCTGCCGACCTGGCAGCACTTGCAGTTAGCAGCCCATGGCGTCACGCACGCTGCCACAGGGCTTCTGGGAATTAATGGTAGACACAAAGAAAGTTACAGAAAGTTAAGCACAAGGAAGAGTAATCAGAGTGTACTGCAGAACTTGGCTGGGGATACGGCTTCGTCTTGATGTCAACACAGTGCTGCGATTGGAACCCGCCCCCTTCACTCCCACAGGCTTTACTGGACTCTTGTCACCATGGTGGCTCCACTCCGAGAAAACAGCTCCTCCTCATCCACCAGTTGAGTGCCCTCGGACCTGAGGGGCCCCGGTTCCGGGACTACCTCCTAACGCTCGGCTTCCAGTTTTGAGGCCTTCGTATCTGACTGTGTTTCGAAGCAACAGGTTTTCAGTGGCTCCTTCCTTCAGCGTGGGAGCGAGTCCTTCTTCTTTGACTCTGTGTAATGGTTTTTTATACCTCACAAAAGGCATAAGCCTTGCGAATATCTTTCATTGATGAAGGGATAAACAAAGTCCTCCATCCACACGATGGATGCAAATCCGCGGCAACAAAGTAGGACAAACGACGGCCACAACGTCGATGTTGTGGAAAATACGTTGTGCTACAGAAACCAGACGCAAAGGCTAGGTGCTGTGTTTTCCCAACGATGTGGCATCCTTGCAAAGGCAACACTAGGTGGACCTTTTATAGGTGTTAGTCATTTACACAGTGAAATACAAAGTTGATGATTCAAAATGTACCCCCTTTCCTAATTTACCATCTTAAATAGGGAGAGATGATAGACAGAGACAAACCTTAAGGACAGAAAGCTGTTCACTGGTTGCCAGGGTGTTGGGAGGGACTTCCAGGGAGTATGGGGGAAGTTTTTAGAGGGATGGAATGGTCTCATATCTGGTTATGAAGTTATGGAAGTGTATGCCTATCAAAATGCACAGAATTTGCACACTACCATTTTATATAAATTATACACACACACACACAAACTCAAATGGAGCACACACTGTAAAGTAAAACTAGAAAACTTTTAGAAAAAAAATCAGAGAAGAAGATCTTCAGAATTAGAGCTAAGCAAAAACAACTGCATTTGCACCCAGCCTCCTTCCTCCTCAGGTGTGGCTTCAGCTGGAGGCTCGCAGGGCAGGAGACACCTGGAGCCTGTGACCTAGAGTACCGCACAGGTGTGAATAACAGTTCAAGTCTGCACTAAAAAGCGCCCCCAATAAAATGAGACTGCAAAAGAAAAAAGAAAGGAACAGAATGGAAATAGTGAAAAAGTTGATGTGGTAGAAAAAGTGCTGAATGGGAGCGTGGAAGGGAAGGGATTGACATGCTGACACCACGTGGGAACCTGGAGAACATGTGGTCTGTCCAGAATCCATGAAAGCATTTCTTAGTTCTCAAAAAGCTGGCAAAGAAAAGATGATACAAAAAGAACGTCTTTATCGGACAGTGAACCCGATGACAAGGAAAAAGGAGAAGCTGCTGACAGACCCAGGGGCTATGCCCGAGGTCTTGATCGTGAGCCAATAATTGGGGCCACAGACGGCAGTGGGAGGTGAAGGGTTCTCAGAAATGGAAAGATTCCGATGAGACAGGCTTGCGGCTGGCAAGCATGAGCTGAACTGCGTCTCATGAAGAGAAACTAACTTGACATGCTTGTCCGGAAGATGGAAGGTCATCATTGTTTGCAGTGATACCGATGGGTATAATTTGAGTCTTGTGTTTTATTTATAGATAATATAAGTTGCATATTATAATTAACCACATTCTAATGGAAATCAAGTTTGATAGGTTGGTCTTGAAATAGTATTGGAATTGTTGGAGTTATTTTGTTGTTTTTGCATCCAGAGCGCTGGTTATTTTGAACAAACAAAGCTTCTTGTAGTTGCTTCATTTACCAGAAAAGAAAATTTACTTAGTCATTACTCAATCAGAACTTGTATTAATCCAGAATGCCCTAAGACCAGTCTGGATTTTGTGTGTGTGTGTGTGTGTGTGTGTGTGTGTATGTGTTTTTACATTTACCCAAAACTAAACTATTCTAAACAAAATTGGCACGTAACAATCATATGTAGATCTGCCTTATTACATATTGTCTATCATTCTGAGCAACTCAAGAAATAGATCGATCATCTTAAGTAAAATTGGGGGAACAAATTACAAGCCATGAGCTTTTCAATCAAATAAATGATCCAGATAAAAAACTAGACTAATATTGGTATGTTTCAATAAGCCATGCAGGGCTTAAATGCGCAACAGTCCCTTTAGCTAGCCCTTCCTCTGCGGAAAGTGAAACCCCTGCCTTACCCTGAGAAAAGGTTGTGCTTCACGGGATGTTTTCAGACCCTGCTGGTGACAACCTACTAAGACAGTTAGTGGTGAAGTCTAGGAACTGCTGGCCTAAATGGCGAACAAATTTGTAATCCCAACTATTGTTCTGCCCGGTTTCTTTTTGTTTATTTTTTAATCCCAACCCCATTCCGTACCAGTAGACCAGTGGTTCAATTTCTCAGTATTTGGGTTATTCCAATTTAGCTGAAGCCAGGGAAATAGCTTGAGGAGGGCGCAGGGCCGGGCGACCTGTCATTCTGCGCTACTCGACTCCAAGGCATCTCACAGCACTAAGGGCGGGTCACCGTTACAGCTGACAGGCTGTGGCCTGGACAGGAACGTCTACAGTCCCTTCACTTCCCAAATGCTTTCTCAGAGATCCGGACTGGGGACGCAAATGGCCTGTCTAAACCGGGGCTGACCACAGAATCAGACTGTGGAGAAACGCAAAGGAGCTAAACGCCTCGCTACGGAAGACCGGTTTAAAAGACAGCTTACCTGTGGCCGAACGGCCGCGGAGGGGCAGGCTCAGCGCGGCGGCGGCCGGGGGTCCAACGTCGGTCTGCGCCTCCCGGCCCGAGCGCCCAGCCCCGCACCGCAGGCAGCGCGGGGAGGCCTGAGGAGCCGCAGCGCGCGCGGGAGCTCCTCACTCGGCGCCTCAGCCGCCCTCCGGCCCAAAGCCAGCTTGGCCCCGCGCGCCCCCTGGCGGCGGCGGTGGGCCCGCGGAGCGACGCTAAGGACGGACGTCGGCCCGAGGCGGTGTTTCCGCTAGTGAGCATGCGCAACTCCACGGCTGCACTCCCACCCAATCAGAGAATCCCTTAGCCGTGCTCCCGCCTGTGCACGCGTTTAGGGGCGTAACTAACATCAGCTTCACCCAATGAGAGAAGACTATTGTCCTGGGGTCGCTCTGAGTCGATAAGAGGCGGGGTAAGGGTGTTTCCTTTAGCAAGATGGCGGCGAGCAGCGTAGGCCGGGTCGCTGCGGCGGCCGGCAGCTCCGTGAAACCCATCTTCAGCCGAGACATGAACGAGGCCAAACGGAGGGTGCGCGAGCTCTACCGTGCCTGGTACCGGGAGGTGCCAAACACCGGTGAGAGGCAGCGGCGCGCGCGGGCCCGCAGAGGCAGTGTCCAAGGTCGCAGGCCTCCGGTTTCTTCTGGGTGGAGCGGGGTCCCCCAAACTCAAGGTGGACTCGGCATGCGTTAACGCCGCGGTCAGCCAGCCGGTGTCCGGCATCCGACAGCGCTTTGGCCTCTCGTGGCCCCCGTAGTCCAAAGGAACCCTGGGAGGAGGGCCAGGACCTGTCAGCGTCTCTCCCGCCAAGTGGATAGGTGAGGCGTGTGGGGTCCCCAAGGCGGACGCGACCAACGGTCGGACCTAGCCCCTGGCGGCTTTGGAGCACAAAACCAGCTGTCGCTCACTCACTCCCTGCCATCGAGTCCTTGCCGACTCACAGCGACCCTAAACGACAGAGTAGAGCTGCCCCTGTGGGTTTCGGAGACGAACGCTTTTTCGGGAATAGAAAGCCACGGCGTTCTCCCAAGTGAACTCGAGAAGCGCAGGAAGCATTGCAGACGCTCCCCGGTGGCTGTGGGCGCTGAGCGCCCTCACCTTTCACAGGAAAAGAGACTGCAGTGGAGAAGGGGGAATGCCGTTTCCAAGGTCACGCAATAAGTCCGCCGAGCTTTCTCCAGTCTTCCAGGCCAGCCGACCTCCCCTGGCCCCTGCCCCCCTCGCCGGCCTTTGTAGTGTTGAAGACCCCCCCAGCCATCCTGTATAAGAGCCCCATAGATCGGATTTCCAAGGCTGTGTGGAAGCAGACTGCCACTTGGCGCCACCCCCCAGCAGCTGGTGGCTTGTAAACCACCGACTTAGCCATGCGCTTTAACCATTGTGCCACCGAGTCTCCCCTGGTTTGGTCCTTCGGGGATAGTCCTTGGGAACTTGTCCTTTGCCCTGCTGCTTCTCCCTCCCCTGCCCCTCTCTTGGCCTGCCCCCTTTTCTCCAGAACCCCAGTCTTCACTTAGATGTCAGCTCGCCCAGAGGTGTAGTAGGCAGCTTCCAGAAAGCAGAGACAGCCGCCTTCTTGTCCTGTGTCCCTTCAGTGCCGCCCAGTGTACCTGATGCTCCCTGCACGCTGTCAAGGGTAGCACAAGTGTCAGGGAGTGTCACTGTTTTGTTATTGCTTTTCAAGCTCTTTAAACTGGCCCTTCACTGCTACTCTGAGGCAGTAGAATGTGGAGGTTAGGCCCCAGGTCCTCTTTCAGGGCCCTGCCCTTCACTAGCTGTGTGACCTCCAGCACGTTACTTCTTCTCTCTGTGCCTTCTAATCTCCTTCCGAATGCAACTGTATTCAGTAGGTTCCTGCTCCGAGGTGCTTGGAACGGGGCTGGGTGTTTAGGGCACAGTCATCAGGCTCCTCTGGCAAATCCCAGTTTGACCTATTGGGGGCGGGAGTGGGCAGGTGGACTGTGGCTGTCCCACAGAGCCCTTGTACTCAAGGAAGTTTTTTAAATTTGTATGTATTAATTGGGAGTTAAGACATCTTTCCTTCCACACTTCAATCATGGCAAGCAGTACTGTGCAGTTGCTACCACAATCCATTTCCAAACATTCTTTTTCTTTCTGGATTCCTGTCCTCAAGTAGTTTGTCAGCTTGCTGATGATGGGAACTTCCTTCACCCTACAAAGATTAGGGGTAGGGGACCTGCTGGCTCAAGCTCAAATTCAACAATAGATGTGGAGGGTGACAGGCAGAAGGGGTGGGAGGTGGAGGGGTGCATTCATACTCAGATGTTTAGAGAAGACTGTTTCTGTGAGTGCTTGGGACCCTTCTGTGTTTCAGTGGGTAAACGAGGGTCCAGATCAGGAAGGGGGGTTTGCCCAGGGTCACTCACGCTTGATGGCTACACTGGGGTTAGAAGCCAGGAATCCCATAGTGCCCAGCTGTTTTTGAGCCACCCGTTCATTTACTCCCAGACCTTCCCTTAAGTACTGTTTGGGAAGATTGTCCCAGCCTGAGAGGGAGAAGGCAGGGGTTACAAGAGCCCAGAGGGCACCAGCAGAAGGGCCCCAGGGCCGCACCACCTGGAGGTGAGGGGTTGGTGATCTGTAGCCAGTCCAATGCCCAGACCCGCTTTCCTTCACTGGGGCTCCAACAATGCTAAAGGGGCATCCATAGTTTTTATACCAATTGACATTTATCAGAATATACTAATGCTTTGTGTTGCCATATTTTAGAGTGCGTGTTAGTGGTTTCCACATTACAGATGAGGAAACAGAGGCACACAAACTTGCCTTGGGTCACAGTGCTTGTAGGTGGAAGAACAAGACAGCAGACCCCAACTGTTTCTCCCAACTCCATGAGCCCTCCCCACCCAGTCACCCCTTGGTCTCTGGAGGGTAGACCTATTTGTCTGCTAAGATTCCTCCTTTGAAAAAAAATGTCCCATGCTGCTCGCAGGTCACAGATAACAGATAGTTTCTGTTCGTTTGTTGAGTTTCTACTCAGTCATTTAATTTCCATGTCACTGGGCACCTCTTATATGATAGGCAGGACATGATGTTAGCGGGCTTTGCTTTGAAGGGTCCTGTGGATTATTCAGAAGTAGAACAGTCTGCCCACAGTGTCAGTGATGTGTGGAAAAGGTCCGGCATTTTTCACGGAGTTCATTCAGGCAGGATCATCTGTAAAGGCTGGCACTTGATCATCCCCACTGCCCTGTAAAGGAGTGGGCCAGAGGGTACTTTCTCCTGTTTTTTTGTTTTGTTTTTTTCACCTGAGGAAACAACAGCCTCAGGGACTTGTGCCCCAGACAAGGGTGCTGCGGTGTGGAGACTGAGCCCTGCTTGTCCAGTCTCCGAGCCCAGGGCCTTTCCATTGCACCACATGGTCTTCCTTTGAAGGACCGCCCTGTGCCTGCCGGGATTGTTAAACGAACTAGAGCAAAACTCTGTGAACGGTGGTTCTAGAACTACACATGTATCGGAACCGCCCACGTCCGGAGTTCAGCCTGGTGCAGGGCCGTGTTCACCTTCTTTGTACCAGCTTAGTCTGCACGCGGTCAAAGTGAGCTGGGGCCCCCTGGTGTAGACCAGTGAGTGATTCTACAGGCCAGAGCCCAGGCGGGTCCTGCTGGCCTCCCACAGTCCTACTCCGTGGCGTGGGCGCACTTGTTCAGGGGGTTCATTAGGAGGAGGTGCCTAGGACATAGGTGTAGGGTCTCTCTAGAAAAGGGTAGGTAATTGGCAACAAATAATGTCAGGGATTTTTGTGGAAGTAACCAGCCCACTTCATTCATTTTAGATCAATTATAACTTGGGACGATTCTTGTAACTAGAAATGTCCAGCTTGTCTGAAGCCATCGTTTTTCTTGGAGACAACCATCATAGGGTGGTACCCAGAGGAACTAATGATTACTTTTCATGTTGTCAGTGTTTAAGATTTAATAAAATGTTAATGCTTCAAGCCTATTCTTAGAAAAAGGACAGGTAGCCGCAGGAGGTTGCGATCAGCTACCTGTGCGTGTGAGCGTTTTCCTTAGAAGCCCCACAGACGGGGGAGCTCAGATTGGGGGACTTTGGAGGCACTGATGGCAGTGTGGGTTTCACGTTGATCTGCTGACCACAGTGGCAGCGGTGTGAAGCCACGGGAGAAAGATGAGGCTGTCTGCCCCATGAAGACTGACCCTGGAAGCCCATGGGGGCAGTTCTGCGCTGTCTCCTGGGGTGGACTTGATGGCAGTGGGTTTGGTTGGTCGTTTGGCTGCAGGAACCGCTAGCAAGTCCCATAGGGTTGGCTTGGGCCTTGCATTTAAAATGCAGACCAAGTGAGTACTGATATCAGGGACAGTGTTTTCTTTCAAATTCCTGTTCTTAAAGGAGCACTATGATATGTTTAAAACAAAACAAACTGTGGTTCCAGGGCCCCGTATGCCAGGGTCCTTCTGTAGGAATCAGACAAGGCACTGTCGTGTGTTCTAGGCTCACTGGCCCCAGTGGGAAGAAGTCTAAATTCTAGGTTCCAGGTTAGTTTGCCCATTTGTTTTTCTCCTTTGATTGTCAGTGGGTGGGGGTGGGTGCTAGGGGCTCTTTTCTAAAATCCCTAATACTCTAACAATGATGTTTAATAGTCTCTTCTCTGAAGGGAAACCAGTGTTTGCCAGTTTGTATGGGTTAAAGCACTTGATCCTCTATAGAATGCTACGGTGGACTGGAAGCTCGCAAAGCCAAGTCGGGGAAATGCTGTGTATGACGGTCCTCCCTGGACAATCCCGAGTTACATATACCCTGAGGGAGCCTCTGTGCTGACTGCAGACACCTAGCCATGAAACCGGGGCACCAGTTCTAGTCTACTGCCGTTACTAATGTCCTGATTGGGGCAGGCGTGGTTGTCTTTGCTTTGTGGCACTGGTATTTTCTTCAGTGGCAGTTTTTTTTCCCATCACTGAAGTCTCCCCTGCTGCCCCCAGCTCCTCGCTCCCTCTCCAGTCCCCTAGATATACCAGACCCTGCCCCACCATGGTTGTCATCAGTCAACCCAGTGGGGGAGGCCGACTGCGCGTCAGAGGGGAACAGGATGCACAGAAGCGGAATCATCTGACGCCGCAGCTACTGAGTCTGAGCCGCATGTCGGTGGATTGCTGCATCTCAGGCTTCTCCGTTCTCGGTCCTAATGGCTGCCCCTTCATTCGAACGTTAGACCTAATGAGCAGGAGTTAACCTCGTAAACTTCTCTCCCCTTCCCCCAAGAAACCCAATGTGGCAGTAACTGCTTGGTGGCAGGAAGGAGGCCGTCCCCTCCTGCAGGCCCTCAGCAGTTACCACCCCTCAGAGGGCCGGTGACATTGATCTCGACTGGAAGGGAGCACTCCCATTGTACTGCCTGCTGCCTCCAGCCCCGCACCTTGCCCTCACAAGGAATGGAATGGAAGCTGCGTGGAGGGGGTGGGGCAGGAGCAGCAGCGGTCACCTCTTGAGCCCCCAGATCAGGTAAGGTCTAATGTCTGGTGACTGGAAGCAAGGGACAGCTTGCACGGGTTCCATGAACATCTATTGACTGCAGCTTTTCCAAATCTCGTTTGACCTATTGGTTCTACCCTGAATCATGTCCTCTCTAGTGCACCTATTCCAGCTGGACATCACGGTGAAGTGTGGACGAGACAAAGTCCGGGAAATGTTCATGAAGAATGCCCATGTCACGGACCCCAGGGTGGTGGATCTTCTGGTCATTAAGGTACCTTGCCCACCTTTTTGGGTGTTCAGGAGAAAGCCCACCACCTGCATTTTACAGCCAAAAAAGGAGCAAAGTTCACCAGGCTTGTAGGACCTCATCCCTGGGGGTTGCTGCCTCATCTGGTAGCCGGCTTTCCACTGGGAGAGGCAGGCAGGCTGTACAAATGGGGCCAAAACTGGGCCTGAGGCTCTCACCAGCCAGCCTTGTTAGCTTCAGCAGGACCCTCAGTGCGGCCCCGTGAGGAGCAAGGGGAGAAAGAGTGGGCACCGACATCAGGCAGGCAGGTGGTGCTGCGGGGAGGCCTGCCGACTGGGAAGCGTCTTCTCTGGGGGACCAGTATGCCCAAGGTGCATGATCTGTGTTAGCCTCGGAGTCCCTGGAGGCCAGTCACCTCCTTCTCCAGATACAGCAGCTGTTGTCTAGCCCATGTGAAGCTGGCCCAGCGTCTGTGCCAGAGCCAAGAACGGAGCCCCAGCCGTGAGGGCTGGATTCCTCCCACTATGCCCCAGCCCTCTCCCCCTTCCCTCTGCAGGGCAAGATGGAGCTGGAGGAGACGATCAAGGTGTGGAAGCAGCGGACACATGTGATGCGCTTCTTCCATGAAACAGAAGCGCCGCGGCCGAAGGATTTCTTGTCCAAGTTCTATGTTGGCCACGACCCGTGAGGGCGCCCAGTGGAAGGTGCACGTGATGTTATTGTTTCAGAATGCAAATAAACTCAGTCTGTGGCGGTCACTTCCTAAACTGAATTCCACTGGTGAGCCCGCGAGAAGCTGTGTTTCTGCAGCGCGTCTCTCACTTCGCACCTGAACAAGTGGGGTCTTGGTGTACACACCACCTGTTCTCTCCCTCTTCCTGAAGCGTGGTGTGTCCTGTGGATGCGATTAGACTCTTTTTCTCAGAGTCCTGGGTGTGGGTAACAGGAGAGGCTGAGGCCGTCTGCTCTGAAACTGTCAGCCCGGCAGGAGGCTGATGCCTGGGCTAATTTAGCTAGGGCTTCTCCGGCCTCCAGGATTGCACAGCTTGGTGTCAGGGCACAGACGATACCAAATGAGCCAGCCCTTGCAGTCAGAGAGGGATCAGGGCAGCACCCAGAGGCACAGAGCCAAGCTGGGCTCTGAGTAAAATGGCCACCCAGGGGCCTGGCCCTTCCCCTTCCAACAAGCACCTGGCCTTAAGACGAGATTCATTCCCACTCAAGGCGGCACCCTGCTAGGGACACAGCTGTTGGGTGCCCATGAGAACACAAGTAGTCCTCCCGGGTTTATGAGATGCCAGGGGGTGGTGACAGGAGGAAATGGGGACCCAGGCTAAAGCAATGACCGCTTTGCTTTGGGCCAATCTTCTCTGGTCCTTCGCTGGAACACTGCTGAAGAAGGGGGTTAGGACCTAGAGGTGCGACCACCCTGGGTTCCCACCTTCTCCGCACGAACCACTCCTTATACTGTCTTTTAACCTACAGAACCCAAGTTCTGAAAGACTCTTGAAGAATGACATTTCTTAAGTAGTTCCAGATGGCTGGCAGCCAGCGTCACTGAAGGAAAAGGGACTGTCTTGGCTGGGCTTTGGAAATAGGTCCCAGACCCATAAGTGCCTTGGTGATCCCCGCCCAGAGGACTCGAGGGACCTGGCCGTAAAGCAGTGGCCCACATGTTCAGCGGACACCTGCGCAGGCGGGGAAGCGCCAGCCATGAAAGACTCGCAGTGGCTGTCATTCCGTCACCCAGACTGGCATTTATTCTGTTTGTTCATAACCCAGGCGCTTGGGCCCCAGGGTTCAGTGGACTCACTATGCAGGGAACAGCCCACAGCCCAGGGACCTGGATGATGGTCAGGGCAGTGCAGGCGGCTTCTGGGAGCGAGGGAGGCAGAGGGCTTCCCTGGGCCCTTCTGCTGCGGGAAGGAGGAGAGGCAGGCGGCTAGCCCATCGCTTAAGGAAGTGAGCACTTGCTCCTCTGTACTTCCTCCGTGCCCTGTAAGAAAGGAAAGCAGCCGTGAGCGGGGCAGCTCTGGACCCCTGTACCAACAGGATTCCCGGGGCATTCCCCCGAACGCAGCAGGGCAGCAGCGGTCTGAGGAGGCGTGAGGATTCATGCAGCCACACACTGAGCACACACCAGAGAGGCGGAGCTCTGGGCTCCCACGGCATGTACGACAGTCCCACGACAGTAGGAAGCTCGGGCTAGTAGCACTTTGGAGTGAGTGAGTGTGTGTGTGATAAAGCGTACAGTAACAAGTGTCCGAAAGGTACCGGTGAGAAAGGGGCAGTCGCCCTCGGAGACGCCAGCATAAGGAGAGGCTTCATCCACGGTGAGCAGTGGAGTTCGGCCTTGGAGGAAGGTGGGACTAAAACAGCAGTGGGAAAGAGCCTTCTCAGTGGGGCAATGACGCACCAATGCGGGTGCCAAGCAAGGGAGTGGGTGACTCCAGAAAGGAGTGTTGGGGACGGGCGGGCGGTTGGAAATACAGTCGCAGGTGTGGCCAAGGCACGGGAAGCCTTGCATGGCAGGCTCAAGCATCGGAGTGCCGTTTTTAAGACAGAACTGCTTTTATTGTACTTCACAGACGACTGCGTTTTTGACAACTGAGAAGGTTTGTGGCCACCTTACAGCGAGCCTGTCTACGGGTGGACATAGTGTCTGCTCACGTCTGTCTCTGAGTCACATTGTGGTCATTCTCACAGCATTCAAGCTTTTTTAATAAGGCTGCTACCTACTACAATGCAGTGTAAACAATTTATATGCACTGAAAACTGAAACATGAATGGGACCTGCTCATGGCACTATTTGCTTCATCGTGGTGGTTTGGAACCAAAGGGTTCTGAGGTCTGCCTGGTGGCAGCAGCCCTACAATACATACTAAGAGTCCAGGAAGTCTGCTCAGGTAAGCCAGGTGGCAGAGGCACTGAGCTGCCAGGGCCAGGCTGCTCCGGTGCAGGGCTTGGAAAGGAGCTGGCAGGGGCAAGGACTGGGAGTTTGTCAATCTGAAATGACGCTGTTGGTGCTGCGTGTGGGGGGGCATACTCCACTGCCAAGGAAGCGTGTGGGCTGAAAGAGTAAGGATATTATCCAGGGCAATTGAAAATGCTGGCTGGGAGCCATCCTAGTGAGGACAGACCCGGAAGACTCGGTAAGACAATAAGATCGTTCCTTGTCTCCCGCAGAGAGAAAAGGCAAAATAAAACTTCTGCCACCAAGCGGGTCAGTCCTTGAACAGTCTGAGCCCATCCCCGGGGTCCGAATGCTGCCACCAGGCTGAGCTGCATCACAGGGCCGGTGCCCCTCTCGGTTCCTGCTCCTGGTCCAGCCAGGGGAGCAGCAGCGTCTACCTGTTTAGTCATCATCGTCGTCGTCCTCTGGGACAAAAATGTCATGCTCTTCAAGCAGGGCTGCAAAGTTCTTGCTGATGAGTGTCCCGACATAGAGGAAGGGGATCACGATGGACACCACCCGGAGCAGGCCGAAGGACATCTGCAGGGGATCACAGGGCACCGTGAGCTCCAGGTCCACCCAATTGGAGGCTAGACCCTCTCAGGGCACTGCTTCCTGTGGACCCAGGCCTGTCATAAGCAGCCTCACTTTAATGTCCTTGGCCCAATTGAGAGCAAGTAAAATAATGAGAAGCAAGCAAAGGTGATGGGTTTTATGGCCACCTCCGGGAAGAAGTACAAAGCATTTCTTTTTAACAAAGTATTCTAAAGCCAAAACCTCTGTCATCAAGTCATTTCCAACCCATAGCGACCTTATGTGGGGCCTCTGAGACCCTAAAGCCTTACAGGAGCAAACTCCTCGTTCTGCCATGGAGCAGTTGTTGGGTTTGAACTGCCAACCATGCGGTTGGCAACCCAATGCTAATGCTAAGTTCTCCCAGGGCCCCAGTAAGGCACTCTAGACATCTAAAACTCAGGGCACAAGCTGGTAATTACAGCTCCCTACAGACATGAGTGAAGAGAGCGCTACAAGGGCTGGAAGACAGGCCACCGAGTGCAGCTCTGTGAGATGTAACAAACTCATGGGCAGGGATTCCAGGAAATACAAGGAGGTTTCAAGAACTTCCTGGAAAAGTGGAAAGAAACGATAATGGTATTTGTCCAATGACTGAAGCCCCCTCACGTGTAAACATAAAGAGACGTTTATACAACTCCAGAAGTAACTGTTTCCCTGGTGCCTGAGAAATCCAATTCTCCTACATGATCAATCAGGAGCCAGGTGGTGGTCAGTTGCCACTGACCACAGACACAACAGAAAGCCGGTAAGAATGGGAGAAAAAACAAATTCATAAAAATGACCACCCACTGGGCTGACAGACTAGGGAAAGGCCGAGAGACCCTTTTAACCTGGAACTGAAGCGACCTCCAGAAGTCACCTTTCAGCCACGGCTGAGACTGGCCTCTAATCAACAGTCAACACCCACCAAGATATGTTCCTTACGACAGCGGTTCTCAGCCTGTGGGTCGAGAACCCTTTGGGGGGTCGAACCACCTTTTCACAGATGTCGCCCAATTGATAACAATAACAAAATGACAGTTATGAAGTAGCAACAAAAATAATTTTATGGTTGGGGGGGGTCACCACAACATGAACTATCACAGGGTCATGGCATTAGGAAGGCTGAGAACCACCGCCTTAGAACATCAGCTACACAAAACCACTCAGCCAGCTCAGAGGCAAAGATGAGAGGACAGAAATGCACAGGGAAGCTGGAGAGCCAGAAACGGAGAAGGGGGGAGGGGGCAGGCCAGGGGCATAAGGAAAAGGGTGGGGCAGGAGGGCGTGAGCGGCCAGTTATGGAACAAAGTGCCTATCAACTGTTAAAGGGGAAATGAAAATTTGCTGTGTAAACTTCCACTTAAAGCACAACAAAATGCTCCTTTTTTTTTTTTTTTAAGTAAGTAATATTTCAGAGCAGGTGTGTTTTGAACAAGCGGGCACATCTTTACACTAAAACGCCAGCTATTTTAGCCGGCCTGGAGGAGTGAGTGTCCAGACAATGGAACCAGCACCTGGGATTTTCACAAGCTGACACATTCATACCACAAACACACTCCACACATCAGCTGAGTCTTTGTATAGGCAGCCACTTCCCCAACAGAGCCCTATCTTGCTGTAAAACCTCCGTGCAGCGAGTTGTCCGTGCAAACCAGCATAGGCCTGGCTAGCTCTTGAAGAATGTGGTGTTGATTTCAACGCCCAGAGCAAACAGGGACTGACTCCATAGAAACACCAAGGGGTGGAAAAGGTGCTGACGGCCGGTGACCGCATTCAGAGGTGCAGCTGACTCAATGCACCTGACTCAGCTGACAGCCTTGAGCCCCTGAATCTCCACGGAAAGAGGAGGGTCACTTTGCTATGAGCCTCTGTGCGTCTCAGGGCTGCGAATCACATGAATTGCACTGTGGGGCAAAACTCAGAAAGCCTGCCCCATGCACCCTTCATCTAGAAAGGCCATTAACCCATGATTTCATTCATCAGCTGAGACAGGGCAGGGACGTCACAAGACTTGTGTCCTCAAGCCAATGGTATGGGCCATCACATGCCTTACCAGGGAATCGATGCCTACTCACAGTGACCCAAGAGAACTGGGTAGAAATTAAGCCCAGTCCTTCTCCCGCAGAGCGGCTGGTGGTTTTGAACTGCTGGCCTTGTGGTCAGCAGTCCAACGCGTAACCACTCCGCCACCAGGCCTCACATCAGGGAAAACGTTGCGTTTCTAAGCTGTGGCTCCCCCTTTTCGGTTTCCACCCACCCTAGCCCAACACAGGATTCGAACACGTCTCCTCCCAGCTGTCCAAGTGGCCATGCACCGCCTTTCAGCTTAAAGCGATCGTATGATTGGCCTTTGCTCCTATCAATCACCGACGACCCGCACTCCTCCGCCCCGCCAGCAGGCCGACACTCACTTTCACCGGTTTGGGCAAAATGGCGCCGCTGCGGGTAACGATGACTGACCTCGACGGTACCAGGCTCCGACCTGAGCTGCCTCGTACGGCGGAGATATCGCCACCTTTCCTCACGCTCGGCCCGCTCCGGGAAGCTCCGGATCGGGCGGTGGCCCAAGCCAGCCAGCGAGATGCCCCGGACGCCATCGCCCAGCTCCGCCCCTCGCCCGGCTACAGACCCCACCGACTGGCCCCGGCAAGGACGGCGCCCCCAAGTCTCGCGAGCGCTTGAAAAGAGCGGCGCCTCCCAGGCTTCCCACTTGCGTCATGGGGAGAGTTCCCCTTGCGGCAGCGAGGCCCCGGCCGACGCGGTGACGTCACGAGGAGGGCGCCGCTGGCCCCGCCCCGGGTGGGCGGAGCCCCCAGACCTCTCTCCCTCCTGTGGAGTCCTCGCGTTTCTGCCCTCGTTCCCGTGCGGGTGAACCACGCAGGGACCTCCACCGAGGATGGAAGTAAACTTAAGGAACTGAAATGATGAAAAACACAAAATAAAAAAACTTTATTAACAATAGCAAAGATAATAAAGGCCGGTGACGTCTGTATATAAAATGGAGTGCAGCGGGCTGTAAGATTCCTGGTCCGGCTAGGAAGGCGGCCCCTCCTGAGGAGCCGGTATAGGGTCTGGGAATTCGTGCAGAGCTTCAGCCGCAAGCCTAATTCGAGGCAAGGTCAGGCTGCCTAAGGCCACCAGTTGGAGGGAGAGCCTGAGGAGGGCGGTGTGACCAGGCTCAGCCAGCTGCACCGTGCAGGGCATCAGTGGCTATAAGGAGTCTTGGCTGGAAGACAAGCAGAGCTGTGAAGACTTCCCAGGTGGTTTAAGAAGCAGAAACGCCCCCTTTGGAATCCCAGGAAGGAGTAGGCCTGTGGCCACACTCCTGGGTGTCGGGGGGACAGAGACCAGAAGAACAAGTGGCTCTCCCCCAGGAGTCACACTGCCTCACACCTCTCCTCCTGACTCCACCCTGGGCAGTCCCACCTCCAGCAGCCCAAGGCTGAGACAGCAGGGTTACTGCTGACATCAAAGCTACCAGCCCTGCAGGGTCAAGGTCCAGAACCTTCTGCTGACAGCGCAGCCAGAGCGAGAGGGGTGGAGGCCCGGAGCAGAATAAATCCCTAGTTGGCTGAAAGCCCTCTCCCTCCAAAGGGAGACGGCAGACTGGGTGGTCCAGACCTGATCTTCCTGCCCCTCAGGTGAGCAGGGCCCTTGAAGAGACATATGAGCAAAACGGCAGCCTTCTGCAGGTACTTAGAGGCACAAGAGACTCCACATGAGCATGGTGGGGCGGCCGGGGGTCGCGTAACATCTCGTTTCTTCCCCGCTATTAATCTTAGAAGAGAGAATTGGCGGGGGGGGGGCACCTTCCCTCTGGGTCTCAGGGCATGAAGGAGCTGGAAGCAGTGATTCCTAAGTCCCCTCCTGATACCAGTGTGGATCTAAAACCTGGAGATGCCCTACAGTAAAGGAAGGAGCAGGTTCCCCACAAAAGCAACCTTGAGAAAGAGTAAACATTCCACTCTGGACATCCCAGGTGTCCCGACCAGCAGGACAGGGCGGACTCCAGGCTCAGGGTCTGTCCTTGTTCTCACGTGCTGGCCGGCCCCCCTGGGCCCTCTGCAGCCACCTCCTCCGCAGCTCCAGGATCTCCTGGCCATACCAGTCATGCAGTGTGGAGAAGCAGGAGGTCTCAGGGGACACAGGGCTCTGTCCCCTGCCTAAGAGGAGGCTAGCAGGGCCTGGCAACTCCCACTCAGCCGAGGCCCACCCTGATAGCCTGCTGCCCCTTCCCTCAACAGAGCCCCCAGGGCTGCAGTCCTTGGAGGGGGAGTGGCCATTCTCTAAGCGAGAACTGTGCTCAGAAGCCTGGGGCTTAGAGCGGCCGGTGGCACCAGCCTTCCACGGTGACCTGCGGTGCAGGGCCAGGCTCTGGCGGGCATCACGCAACTGGCTCTCCAGCTCACGTACCACCAGGCGCATGTAGCTGAAACTGGCCCGAGACAGCACCTTCACCCAGGCCTCCTGGGCAGCTGGCCCATCTGCAGCCAGCAGGTAGGGCCGCACTCCAGGGGCATCGAAGCGGATAGCGAAGGCAAACTCTTCAGGCACTGGGGCCTCCGCCAGCTCCACTGTGCAGCCCTCCAGCACCACCAGGCTGAGCGGGGCCCGGCCCTCAGGACTCTCAAAGGAGAACAGCAGGTTGCCCTTGAGGACAAACCAGCATCTTCGGCCAGCACCACCAGCAGTGGGTGGGGTCCCCAGGCCCCCCCACAGGCGCAGGAAACCTGTGTGGTCCGCAGGGGAGTCACTGGTTGCATAGTGGGCCACGCTTCTCTCATTCAGCTTCATGGCTCCTGCTGGGGTCCCTGGAGTGCTGTGAAGTGAGAGAGGGGCCCTGAGGATCAGAGGATGGGGACAGAGGCAGCGGCCCTGGGGGGAAAAGCAGGCTAGTCTGGAGGAGGCCCACCAACTCATTTGTCTATGACCTCGGCTGGGTCTCAGTGTGCTCCTCTGTGACATGGGTGGGTCCCTCGTGCCTTCTCTCACCAAGGGTCAGTGTGGGGGGTGGTGGTGAGGGAGGGGTCAGGCAGAAACACTAGACATAGGAGACCTCTATGTCTAGATCATGTGCTTGTCCCCGACGGGGAGGTGTGGCCAGGCTTTTGAAGATGCGAAGAATGGGTCCCCGCTAGGCTGACAGGAACCCCAAACTCACAAAACGGCTGTGTTTAAACCGAGGCTGAGGGCCCCATAGCCAAACCAACCCCAAGGGTTTCTGAAACCCCAGAGGCCCCTGCTGGTTTCTCAAGTGTGGGTGACACAGCCACCCTGCAGCAGCCTTCAGGACAAGGCAGGTCGAGGGGTGCGGACCAGCCTTGTTCTTGGCTTGGATGGGGAGCTACCCTGTAAACACTAAACACGTGTGGGTCCCACAGGGCTTGGCTGCATGGGGCCAGCCTCAACCACCGGATGTCAGTGCGTCATCAGATCAGAAATGGTCCCTAGTCCAACCATCCCCAGTACGTAGGCAACGCTGCAGCCCTTGGAGCAGGGGCCGTGAACTGCCCGAGATCACACAACCCATGAGAAACCCAGCCTGGTCTCCGGATTTCCTCCCACCTTCCAGGCAAGGTCATGGCTGTGAACCCACTTACCAGCAGAATCCACTGAAGGAGGTCTCTTGCCACACCGCGGCGCCCTTTGACCACCTGGTTCCCAGGGAACCTGCAAAAGAATTCTCACACCCAGTCAACCCATCCTAAAGAAGAGGAACTCCTCAATGTCCTTTGGGGCCCCGTGAAATCACCACCTTCTCCATGAAGCCTTCCCTGGCCCCTGCCCATCCCCCACGGCTCTCAGACCAGGCCCTGGTTTTTGTTGAGTGCGTGGGGTATACTCATAGCCACTGGGTCGATGCCGACTCTGGAATCTCTCAGACCAAACTCACTGCCACGGAATCAGTGCAGAGCGCCCCCTGTGGGCTTCTGAAACTGTCACTGTTCCCAGGAGTAGGAAGCCCAATCGTTCTCCTGTGGAGATGCTGGTGGATTCGAACTGCCCACCCTGCGGATCAAAGCCCAACGCATAACCACTACGCCACCAGGGCTCCATGGACTCTAGTCTCACTCAAAAGAAAAGCCCCCTAAAGGGTCTCCTTAGGCCCGGATCTGCATCAGAGCCGACCACCAGGTCTTTAGTGGGATCACCTTACCTTTCAGTTAGCAGCCAAACATGTTACCATGATGCCACCAGGACTCCGTAGGCCAGGCACCTGACCCCCATTGTCTACACCAGTGTTTCTGACACTGCCCTGTAGGGATGCTGGGGCGATGAGTGGGTGGGTCAGGGGGACTATAGAAGCACTTTATCCTGGATTATGGGCTATAGAGTATAAAACATTCTCATTGCCAGGGCAGGATGCTGATTGATATATATATATATATATATACACACACATACATACACACACACACACATATATATATATATACATACATACATGTATTTTTTTTCCCTGAAAAGGGGGTGGTAGGCCAAATAAGTTTGAGGACGTACTATGTTCTACACCATATATATATATATACACACACACACACACACATACATACATACATGTATGTATTTTTTTTCCCCCTGAAAGGGGGGTGGTAGGCCAAATAAGTTTGGGGGCTTACTATGTTCTACACCTTTAGTTCCCTACCCACCAAAGCTAGGTCAGAATGCTGAGTTAAGTGCTCTTAGGGCTTCCAGCTTTCCTGTCACACTGTGGTGGCTTGTGTGGTGCTAGGAGAAGTTGTGCCAGTGGATTTCCAGCCCCAGCAGGACCACTCATGGTGGACAGGGTCCAGCAGGCCTTCCAGACTAAGACACACCAGGAAAGGGCCCCGGCCAGCGAAAACCTGTTGAAGAGCAGCAGAACATTGTCTGCTACAGCCCCAGAACGTGAGCCCCTCTGGTTAGAAGGCACTCGGCGAACGACTAAGGAAGAGCTGCCTCCTCAAAGTAGAATCAACTTAGAATGAGACGAAGCAGCTACAAACATCCATTAATAATTAGAATTCAACATACAAAGTATGAATCTGGGAAAACTGAAGCTGTCAAACATGAAATGGGGCACGTGAAGATACATATGACCTGTTGTTTCCAACCGGCGCTCAAAAGTCATTATATTAGAATTTGAAGTACATGCAATGGTTTGTAGTAACAAATGACTGAATCTCTATGATGCACATAAAAATATTGTTATTACTGTATTATTATGGTAAAGATGTTTCGGTGTATATCCAAGTCTTTCCTTCATGATATCTATCAATACACAGAATTGTGCACTATTACTATACATGAAGACCAACATTTGACCTGATACAAACTGTATACTTGATGGTTCCGACTAACATACAAACTTTGACATAAAGACATATTTAGGAACAAACTCACTCAGGGCTTCCTGTGTTTGAATTTTTGTGCCAACTACTAGTGCCCAAAAGGAAAAAAATCAAAGATTCTCACTAACTTCTGCACTCTGAAATCGACCAAGCATACAGTCAAGATGCTTCGATGACTAAAGGTAATAATGACTGGCCATGTGAAAACCGGAAACACAGAAGAACCAGCAGGTGGACAATATGGCCTTGGTATTAAAAACAACCCCTGAGATCACACGATAGAATTATGCAACCGATTCCGGAGCCCTAGTTAGCACAGTGGTTAAGTATCCAGTTGGCAACTAAAAGACCAGCTACTGCAGCGCCCCGGCCAGTCCGAGGAGAAAGATGTGGCAATCTGCTTCTGTAAAGATTTACAGCCTTGGAAACCCTGGCGGGGCTGAGTCAGAACCCACGTCAGGGCCAGGGTTTTTGTTTTGTTTTATGTTAACTGGGTGGATCATACAAATCACCTGGCAACCAATTCAGTCTATCTATCCGGGGTTTCCACCAGGCTAATTTCCAAAGGCAAATTCTCAGCAACAGGCTCAGATTAGAATAAACTGGTTAGAAGCGGTTCAACAACATAGACTATTGCACGTGTGGGCGGAGCCTGGCGGTGTGGTATGTTAGGCAGTTGGCTGCTAACCACAGGCTTAGTGATCCAAACCCAGCAGCCTTTGTGCAGGAGGAAGGTAAGACGCAGAAACCCATAGGGGCAGTTCTACTCTGCCCTATAGGTTGCTACATATAGGAACGGCTCCATGGCAATAAGTTCGGTTTGGGGTTGACACGTGGGACCTCGCCAGGTGGCGGCAAAGCAACTACATCCGTGGAAAGAGACTGTGGAAGAGCTCAAGATCTCAGTGGGGAGGCCGGCTTTGGAAGGGCCCATCAATTACGCTATGCAATTTCCAAATGGAAGCTGAAGAGAATGAAAGCAAGGCCATGGGCGCTGAAGGAGGGCCTTGAGTGTACCCCACCTCAATTTAGAGACCGTCTCAAGGATAAATTTGATGTAGGAAAGACTAATGACTGAAGACCAGGCGCCTGGTAGGATGGCCTCAAAGCCCACGTGCATGAAGAGAAGACAAGACATGACCAAATGGATTTCAGAAGAGACTGAAATTTGTAGCTACAGCTAATGGAAGAAACGGTGAGGTAAAAGAGCTGAACGGGAAATGTCAAAGGGTATCTGTCTATTATCATGAAATGCCCAGAGACCGGGAGTTTAAAAAGCCGAGAGAAGACCATGAATGGCCGTACTCAATGCCCCCACCCACCCGCTGCCACACCCAACGTGAAGAAATAGCTCAAGCCTCAAGCTGTGATACTGAGAGTCTAATCGGAACATTTTGGAACAAAGAAGGAAACATCAGAAGAGGGAAGGAAGGACTGGCGAGACCTGTATCCTGGACTTTGGATATGATATGCGAAGGACCAGTCCCCAGCTTAGTTGAGAGCCATGGAAAAGGAGGAAGCCACACAAAGAGGTGGGGGGGGAACACAGAGGCTGCAGCGATGGTGGCCTGGGACCTAGGAGATACTGCGAGAAGAGCAAAGGGCTGGTTCCTTGTTGTGACAGGGTCGCTGGGAGTTAGGACTGACTCCAGAGCACCTACCAATACGGCCTTCTGCACTGGTGGGCTCGGTGCGCTCTCGTTGAAATCGCCTCATCAGAGGGGCAAGGAGTCTGATGGCACTGTGACTTAAGCCCTCTGCTGCAAGCCCAAGGGTCAGTGGTTGGGACCCACCCCCCTCTCATGGGAGAAAGGCGGAGCATAGCAGCCTGGTGCCATAAACTTCTTAACAAAACAAAACAAAAACGCTGCAGTGGCGTCTATTAAAACTGGCCCTATAGGGTTTGCAGACTGTCGATCTTTAGGGACACAGACTGCCACATCTTTCACCTATAGAGAGGCTGACGGGTTCCAGTGTAACCATTTAGCTAGCAGCCGACCGCTTTAACCTCTGCACCTCCCTGGCCACTCGATGATGGCCCAGAAGACCCTGTTTTGCAGTTCTGCCCTGGCCTATAGGGATGATAAGTGTCCGGAATGACTCAGGACGGTGTTTTTTGTGTTAACCTGATGAGCCTTGTGCACCAGCAAGGGGCTCGCCCTCAAGGAGCTTCCATCT